AGCATATTGGAACGCATCCAATTTTCCACTCGACATGCGCATCCGACGAGAACCTGGTTAGTCGGCCATTCCTTTATTATGCCGTCCAGTTGGGTTAGGTATTACTATTCGGCTGGGAGTCATCCGGCGCATGTTCCGATTTCTCGCCAACCGGGTCGAGGGAAACCCGCCGCGTTTCTGTCCACGACTCGAAACGATGTCGGCGTCGAACTTGCGAATTTCCTCAGGCGACATGGCTCACAGCCATTGAGACCCGCGGGTCGCGTGCGATTCGCGCTTGAAACAAGACGATCTCCGATACCGGACGAGTATTCTCAATGAAATCCACTCATAGTTGTGCCAGGGTGTCACAGTCACCAGATAGATAGAACAGCTGACTCCGCCTGGACCCTGATGGCTACAGTGATGCTGATGATGACGATTACGGCGGCAGCAAAGACAGAGATGGCGGTTGTGTGGCTTCTTGCCACCGCCGATCCTCCTCTCCTCGCCTCTTGGTCGTCCACGAGCGCCGTTCCCACCTTAGACTCTCGGTAGCAGCCGCTTGGACGCACGTGAACTCGCTTCGGTACGAGCACATGCTTCAAGAGAGTGGTGAACAGTGTTGTTCGGTGTCAACTCCTCTTTCCGTCTTCCCAGCGCTCGTCATCTTGCCCGCCCGAAGGCTGCCCGTCCGCCCGACCGGCCAGGCAGTGAGCCGAGCGTTTCTTTCGAGCGGCCGACGGTCAAGCTCTACGACGACGCATATTTAGTGCGACTGTGGAAACCGCGTTCGAATTAGAATCACACGGTGTCTCCGGGTGGACTGCCCGAGAGAACCGTTGCGGGGCGCTCATCCGTTGCTGGGGTCTCATCGTCGGGGCCTCCCCAGATTTCCACTGAATCCGGTCCGCTGGGCATCAGCTTCGCTTCCTCGCCAAAATGTCGTGTACGTTGCAACGAAGATCGTCGTATGCCCTCGCGAAGACAGACTCTCAACCGACGAGCGTTGCCGTCTCGCGGAATTCCTGTCGAGGCTCTCAGCGACATTGTGAAAAGTGCGGCTTGCCGGATTTGCGCGGGAAGTTCCCGTTAGCTTCGTACAGATCTCAACTTCGTAGACTTCATATGACGCGTAAGTTCCCCGCCATTGATTCATTGGTACCATCGGGCTAAATTGGCTCGAAGACTGTCGGTCGGTCTGTCTGTCTGTCCGTCCGTCCGTCGGTCCGTCAGACCACTCCCTATCGGGTTTACCGTATCGGAGATTTTCTGAAGCGTTCGAGAGAGCGGCTCGAGCGATTTCCGAACGAGCCTCGTGGGCTGGACGTTTCAGAAGTTGGCCATCGGTTGCTCTGCTCGTAAATGAATCGTTCCGGCCGGAGCCTGCCGAGGTATATTTTCACCAAATACGAAGACCTACTCTTCTGGTCGGCCTCCTCGCCGCCATGGTATGTCTCTCGGTGCATGGCTTTCCGTGTCCTATTCCTTCCTACTTTATGGCCGCGAGACGCCAGAGGTGAGCCATTAGGTGAATGTGCTCCATTCTCCCAAAGGCAAGCTACCTAGATCAGTCGGTCGGTTGCCGAGCAGGGCACCTTTGTTTAAATATCTATCTCCCTTATAAGACATGTGCCTTGCTCCAGCAACCGTTATCCAGCTCATGAGATCGGACACCGAGGCTGCTCCGGCAATAAAAGTCAGCCAGCCACGGTAGGAAAACGTACGTCCAAGCGAGCAAACCGTTCGGAAAATCCGGCTGTCCAAGAGCGTGGACGGAGCGATGGGTGCTCTGAGAACAAGACTTCGTCTCACCAAGCATGATTACACCGTATGATCCATTTCTCACGCTGACGACAATTCGAAGGATTCTGGAGTGTCTCTTCGTCAAGGCACGTCTATCGCCGACTGCTCCGTTCCTGCTTCAGGCCATTCGGAAACGCTGGACTCGTAGTGTGTCGTTCGCGAAAAACTGCTGGCGGATTTTGATTCTCGCGGAACTCTCTGCCTCGTACGCCGCGAGCATCTGCAGCGACATATTCGAATAGAATTCGCCGGGTCTTGGCTCACGTCGCATGATCTGCAATCAGTGTTACCTCAAATAACTCTATCCGAGCCAAGCAGGCTCGCTTGACCTGCGATCTCTACACCTTGACGTTGAAATTGTTTTTTCTCCGCTCCTCGAGTTTCTCGAACTCGCTCGAAGCGGCTCGAAATGAAATATCTCGATCGTGAGCTCAAGTCCTCGATTGTCAAGCGCAACCAGCGATTTTTCGACTCCCCACTTGGTCGTCCCGAAATGAATGCTCTGTCGAGATTTCCCGGATCTGGATCCTTCGAAACACTCGGAAGCATGAGAGATACTCCTCGAGATTACGAAGAGGAAGTAGTATCTACGGAGCACGAAACAAGGCGCGTCGTTGGCTTCTCGCGTCTAAACCCACGAAACGATTAGGATGAGTGTCGCGATAACGATGACGTCGATCTCGCTGATAGGGTCAAGGGTTGTGTTCATTTCAATGTTGAGATTTTCGAAGGTCTCCGTAAGATCACCAACGGTCGCGACGAAATATCATCGATGGTTACCCGCTCTGACGTGCCAAAAGCTTTCAATCGTGATGAAGAGGCAATTCCTGGCTAAGCTCGCATTGCTACCGCGGTCGCATCCAAAGACACCGTGAGGAGTTTCCCAAGGCTAGTCGACGTCACTCGGTGGTCTTCCCGCTCTATAACATCAGCAGCAGCAGCGTCGGCATCGCCGCCAGCTCACAACCGACAGCGACCAAGCAGATAGCCAGCGAGCTGGCCGGTCGAGCATGGAAGAGAAGAGGCGGGCTTTCCACTGATGATTCTGAGGGTGAGCGCGATGTTCCAGTTCATCCACCAGCCGAGAAATTCATCATTCGACTGAGTCGTCGAGTCGCCTTCCCTTCGTTCCCCGATCTCGAGCAACTCCACCAGCGCGCGATGGGCGACACCGACCGACCGCCTGGAGGATGGAAAGATAGTTTCTCATTTTTATGAGAGAAATCAGTCGCAGCGACTCAAGCGATAATATCCTCTATGAGATAGCGAGAGCGAATGATGACAAGAAAGAAGAAGAGAAGAAACGGTCTTAACAACGGCATCTTTCGGACATGTATTCGAAATGCACATATAATGCGACCAGCGCCGCCGGTGACTACAGCCAAGGGTCATCACGAGCAACTGATTCACGGCGGACTCGTAATAATATCGATGGGAGCGGTAGCGGGGGCGACTATATTAATTAGTCACGCTTTTTACGATCAGAGAGACTCGCCGTGCCCGGGGGTTTTGCTATTGCCCGCTCACTCGGTGGACTGGCTGGAGGCAATCAGGCGGAGCGCGGCTCGAGCCGCCACCGAGCTGCCCAAGGATCTCCGCTCCAACGTCGCCACGGGCCGGACCTGTAAGAGAGCTTGCCTCGTGGAACCGATTCGGATCGCCAGTGATCATGCAGAGAGACTGAACGAGCTCGTATCGCTCCAATAGCGTAGCTCTTCGGTCTATTGTCGTTGCTGTTGTTCGCCTATAAAATTCGCATCCGAATAACATGCTTTCTCGAAAATATTTCGCCGCTCCAAATACGCGGCACGTCGCGAGACCTTTGAACTGAGAGAGTTTCGTTCACTTGTGACGACCTTGTTCCGTTCTCTCCCCGTTCCTGGCCCGTTTACGTGGAAGGTCGAATCTGGGAACGGTATTGAGCAGCGGAATCAAAATCAGCCCTGTATCGCTGAGAAATCACCAATCTCTCTTCCGAAACACATGTCGAGCATCGAGCTTCCGATTGAATGTTATCTACGATAGGTAGTTTCCTGACATACTCGAGTTCCCAAGAGAAATCAGCTGCTTCTACTGCGACGTTATTGTTGCTCCACCTGATTTGGTCCGATATTTTCGAAGCTTCGCTCTTTCGCTCCTTCTAACAATGAGGGATTATCGGATCGCAAGCTTATCGCAGATATCCGAAACTTGTCACGTTTGTCTGAAGGGACGGCGACACGCCCAAGAGTTAGGCTGAAAACTGAAAACCATGTAGTGTATCTACCTAGCTCGATGTCGAGTATGCGGAGTAGTCGTTTCGACCCATGGTCCCGACCCCAGATCGGTGAGGCTTTGCGAAAGGCAAAACCTTCAGTTTTGTTATCGTCGCTCGTATCGTTCCGCTTCGACTAGACTCGATTGCACCGCGTCTATTGTCGGGCGGGAGCGATTCCAGCTGAGCTCACACGGGAAGCTCACCTCTACGCCGCTCGGTCTTCATTTCAACAAACCTCTCGAGTTTCGCGTCGAGGTGCCGAGGGTCTCCAATGCTTTCGGGCCGCTCTGTTGCCGCTTCTCGAGCAATTGAGCTCCGAGCACTCGAGCTACGGCGAATTTGAGGACCACTCCGAGGGCGAAAGTGTTTCGATGTCTCGATGGGCACCGTCATCCCTGAATGAATGGTAGAGTTTCGCTCGAATTTCGATTCATGAAGTTGGAGTCGACGGTGGATCCGGCAGAAACCGCTTGATCGGTACCGTATTCTGGCCGCCGGAACGGAAACACTTGACGGGGAGCAATCAAGTTGATCACCAGACGGGCAAAAGTCGCAGTTCGAGCAATCCATCTCGGCAACGAAGATGCATGACACGGGCAGACTACGTCTGCGTGAAGGCGGCCTGTTCGAAGTCCGCAAGAAACAGCGTCGCGACGCCAATGTTACCTTCATGAACGACGCTTGACAACAATGACAAATTACAATGTTTGAATGGATGAATGACTATTCGGCTGGCCAACCGGCTGATTGGCTCGGTGCTGGCCTCACCGAGCTACCACTGTGTGTATATTGTTGAAGGGAAGACCTATACTGCAAGGTCCCCCGAGCGAGACACCGTTTTGTTCAATACTGATCGCTCGCTGGAGCTACGACAGGCGACGAGCTCATGGACGACCCAGAGACAGAAAAAAACTTTCAGACTTTCACTAACGCTAAACTCAACTTTTGCAATTTGCAGATGACGTCACATTGCTCCTCCGCGAAATCATGACCGATGCTCGCGATCTCACGCGAGCCGAGAGATGCTCCCTGTTTCTGCTTGATAAAGAACAGAAGGAGTTAGTGGCCAAGGTATTCGACGGTGATCTCGCTGAAGACGGTCAGGAAACCTGCCACGAGGTTCGAATTCCGGTCGACCAAGGTGAGCCTACTCGTTGATCCCGCGTGAGGATTGTTTGCATGAAGATCGCCGCTCGCTTGAGTGCCGGTTCAAAGCTGTCGCGCTCGAGATAATAGTTCGAGCGATACCGTCCCATGTTGGAGGTCCACGACCCCGGGCTTAGACCGTGTTCGACATGGTGCTAATTGGAAATCATGTTGCATCCAAATGTTTCATCGATTCATGCAACGATGTCAAGGTGGAGCTCCTGTCGTGACAGCAGTGAATCGATTCGGTCTACACAACAATGCGGAGCCGCTCGCGGTTTTAAATGCGTTTTCGGCCAGCACGTTCAGACGCAGAGGCGGTTTCCTGAACCGTGGACTGGACAGACCGGCTCGAGGCAGTCGCTGCGGGAGAGATATACGCAGACTGGATACGAATGTCCTTCTTTTGCAGGAATAGCGGGCCATGTCGCCACCACCGGTGAAATTCTCAACATACGAGACGCTTACAACCACCCGCTCTTCTACCGGGGCATGGACGAAGTCACCGGTTTCAAAACTAGAAATATACTCTGCTTCCCCATAAAAGATGACCAGGAAGTCATTGGAGTGGCCGAGTTGTGTAACAAGGTGAGCTCTTGCTAAGCACACAAAACACCTTCCCTGGTATCCGTCCTATAGCGGAAAAGATAGCGGGTAAGCTCAAGAGACTAGGAGGAAATTTTCGCGTCGTCCAATACGAAGTAGAATTCGATCGCGACACATTGCGCCCGTTACAACTTCAGCCGAAGTCCTTCGTCTCTCGCGAAATCCAGACCCGCGATCTACCAAAAAACCCGTCTGCCTCCGAGTCAAATGCCAACGCAGTACTTCGAAGTCTGATGACTTGCCGTGTCTGAGGCCGCGGGCTTAACATTAACAGTTGCTTCAATTCCCGTTTCCGGGAGTCTTCTGACGCACTAGCCGAAGGACAGTCGGCAATGGAACTGACTACGAAGCTGAGTTTTTCGGGTTCACTGACGAAATCTAAAGCGAACGGATTTCCTCTTTTGTTCAGTGCTGTGACTCTCGCCTCATATCTACGGCTCTTTGGACGAACGGCTAGCACGGGAACGGCAGCGAAAAATTCTCGGCGAGCTATCTGAAGTAGACACAGACTTACTCGGACACATTTCGGCTTCGATGAATTCAGGGCTTTGATCAGGAGGGCGAAAAATTCCAAGCGATACCAAGCCACCTATTACTGGGGGGATTCGACGGGGCAAACGCCTTGTGAGCCCTTCCTGAGGTCGAATTGAGCAGTCCATAGACATCGTATAGGATCCTGTCCGTCCGAATTCGGAATCCTGGAAACAAGCCATGGCTCCATCAGCTCCCTGCTGTCACAAGCGTCGTTGGTTGGCTAGATCGTAACAACTACAACGCGTCGCGATGAATCAACGTACGCTGCCGTTCCATTGAAATCTTCCGTCGTCTTCCTCTGCCCTGGGACGGTGCGGCGGAGCCGTGTGCGATGCGCAGTACCCCGACTCATCGCTCGTTGAATGTGCTAATATGTACTACGCGCGGTTCAGTTGTTTGACGATGAACCTACGAATAGATTCCATGATTGGATCGAGAACATTATCCCCTCTTTCCTCGAGTGGGTGGATAGGAGCTGCAAAGAACCTGCTTCTCAATGGATCGCATAGCCTAGTCGGACTTCGGAAAATCCTCAAAAGTGAAGCGAGTGACGTTTTTTCATCAATTCCGACGAGATCGATTAATCTCCGCGCAAGAGCCTTGGATCTCATCACGGTTCCGAGCTTGCGCGAATAGGGCGAAAATCTCTCGAGGGCGTTGGCTCACCGCAGAGCTCTGTCTTCGACACAAGCAGAATTTTCTCCCCAGCCGCGGGCTGGTCTGACTGTTTTCGACTCGCCAGAGATGGATAAAGATTCTGTGGGCAAATCTTCAGACGTCAGTGTGGCGGCATCTTCCACTCGAACCGGAGATTCGTTCCTCAAGCTTCCATGGAATCTTCGTTCCATTTGTTCCATAGAGTGATAGCCGCTCAACTGCAGCGGCTGCTTCTACCATGCATCCTGTAGGGATGAATCTATTCGTATCGATTTTCTCCGAATAATAAAATCTACTCCCTCTCTTCCAGGTGAACGGGAAATGTTTTTCGTTCTTCGACGAGGAAATGGCAAAGGCGTTTTCGATTTACTGCGGTATCTCCATCATGCATTCGTTAATGTGGAAAAAGGTGCGGTCGGATACATGCCATCTAGTAGACGTCTGCATAAAATGTAGACGTTGACGATGGATTTTTGTTTGGGAATTCGAAATCTTCCCGCATAGAGATGCTTCCCGTGCTCGGGAACGAGAAAGACCTGAGTACATACTCCGAAGGGATACATGTATCGGAGTTTGGAGAGTTCCAACATGGCCCTCGTAGTGAGCAAGTGCTCCGATAGCAAGCTTGAAAGAAAGAGTCCCCAAAGTAGACAAAGAGCTCAGAGCCTACTTGTCGGATTCGGTTTAGAATGAGAGCCCCTGCGTTTAGTATAAATAAAGTCTGCCTTCGGGGAGTTCCAGACGCGAGTAAGCTGCGCTCATCTGCGTTTGAATGGGGTCGCCCTCCGAGCGCGGGGTCAACGTCTCGCCGTGGTTCGTCTGCGGCACTCCTCAGTGTGTACGCTCCTTTTACACCACAATTCTGACGTCTTGAGTCTTGAGCAGTTTTTCTCCTCACACCTCGACAATGCTTCGATATCCCCCATATCCCCGCTCGATACTGAACGAAAATATGGAAAAACGAAGTTACGGCGGTGGTCCCACCACAGCGAGCTCCGGGGCGTCCTTAGATCCTGCCGAGGGTCGATAATCTCTCGCAAGTCGTAAAAAAACTTCTGGGGACGGTTCGAAGACCAGCAGAAACAATACAGGACGAAATCAGGAAAGAAATCGATGAAAGTCAGAGGGAATACGCGATTGATTACGATAAGAAAAGAAAACCTTACGGAGTCAGATATGGAATAGGAAATGTGGTACTAGTGTCGAGATCGCCTGTTCATACGGGGCAACCGACGGAGCTACAACCGGAATTCAGAGAAGCCTTGGTAGCGACCGGAGAAGCCGAAAGACCCGTATAGCCTAATACATTCGGAGAAAGATAAGAACTGAACATGCACCGCCTATTGCCAGCGACTCCGTCGGTATACCCAATATTAGTGGTTTGAGGGTCGACGCGATGAGTCCATTGACTGACGGAACCCCAGACGCACCAGGAGCGGCTAGAGAACATGCGAGTACTTCAGAAAAGTGGAGCTCTCACGGAGATTTCTATACGAGGATGCAGAAGCTTGTAGATGAGAACGAGGAACAAATCGAAGCCTTGTCGATGTTGCTGGGACAATGCGGTCGGTAAGAAATAATACAGAAAACAACGGAAGTCGATCTCACCTCGGCGATCATTGAGCAACCGACGAGAGAGACCGAAGAGACAGAAGAAAGAAGGAAGAACCCCGGAAGAGCGGCAAAATTCGAAGGCAGATACGGAAAATGGCTATGAGACTATAAAAACATTAGGGCTCGAGTAGGAATTAGCTGAAGAATCGAAGAATGGAGTAGGACATTCATGGGGCACACGATAGTCAGGGGCTTCAGGGGCACACGATAGTCATGCAAGGACAGGATGAGGACATCATGTGAGATAGCGTGGACGAGAGACCGCCAGAGGGCGTCGGAGGTCGGAAAGAGGCTCGAAATCACGAGTTCTGAAGCGCGAAAAGCAAAACGAAACGGATCGGGAGTTCGTGAGACAGTGACCAGGACAGTCCAAATTGAGAAGGAGTCCGTGAAATTAGAGAGCCAGCGTGAGCACCGACAGTAAGAGTGACAAGAGCCTGCACAGGAAAAACGAAGACAAAGACTGTCACGGAAAGAGTGTCGTGGGAAGACGAGTGAACGAAATAGGTGCGCGAAGTTGTTTATCGGTGGTAGTACTGGTCGAACTGTGGGGAACGAGCTATTAGGTAGAGTATTGTCAGCTCATGTGGGGGGAACGACGCATGGAGGTCAGACGGGCATGTGTCAGTGGATATCGTTGCATAATCCGCTAATCGGAACCAGAGCCGGCGATCATCTTATGCGGTTTATTCCAGCATTCTCATATTCCTTCGAAAAAGATAACCTTCTCATGGTGTTTTGCTTGGGTTTCAGGTGCGCGATGCACAGCATCGTTCTCGGTTATCAAATGAACTGATGATGTACCATATTCTGGTGCCCGACGAAGAGGTCCATCAACTAGTGACCTTAATCGGCAATGATCTCGTCCCGAAACCTCACGAGCGTTTCCACCCGTCGTTCGAAACTTTCCGCGGGGTCCCTCGGGGGATACCTGACAGAGATACTCCACTGGTGAGATGCTCGAACCGCTTCACGGAGACTACTAGAAAATATATTAGGAATTTCGCTCTTGATCTATCTATGTTCCCGGTCTTATTCTGCTTCGCCGTCTCTTGATGAATATTATACCGGTGCAGAGCGTCCTCTGCGCGGAATCTGCGGTTGCTGTGACTGACCGCATCGTGTCTCGAGCCGACAGTCACGGATACTTTCCCTGCAGGCTGTGGTGACGATGTTCGAAGATCTCGGTTTCATTCATCGGTGGCGGATTTCGAGAACAACCTTGGCGCGATTCACTCTTATGGTTCGAAAGGGATACAGAGATCCACCTTATCACAACTGGACACACGCGTTCGCCGTAGCCCACTATAGTTATCTCCTGATAAAGAATTTGCATCTCGACCGAGAAGGTTACCTCACGTGAGTACGATATGATACGAATATGATCACTTCAATTCCAATCCGGCGTGCATCGACTCTCCCTCCGATTGGCATGCTATCGGTGGGGGCACATATCCCTCTATTGAATCTTATATTCGGGGATCCTGTCCAGTTCAGATTTGAAAGGAATTTGGCCGATCTGGGACGCGGGAACAATTTATTTACGTCGTTCTCAACTTGCAGGGATAACGAGGCGCTGTCACTGTTCGTGGCCTGTCTGTGTCATGATTTGGATCATAGGGGCACAACAAACACTTTCCAAGTGAATTCGAAAAGCATCCTGGCCTCGCTCTACTCATCTGAAGGCTCCGTGATGGAGAGGCACCACATCGCTCAAGCCATGGCCATTCTCAATACCGAAGGATGCAACATCTTCGAAAATCTTGAATGCCACGAATATTCGAAGATTCTCGAGAACATCGGTCACATCATCCTCGCGACAGATTTGAGTCACCATTTTAAAATCCTGCCATCTCTTGGCCGAATGGTGAAATCGTTCAACAAGAAGGATCCGGCTCATCATTCGCTTCTAATGTGTCTCCTAGTAACGTCGTGCGACCTTTCTGATCAAACGAAAGATTGGAGAGCGACGAAGCAAGTGGCCGAGTTAATCTACAAGGAATTCTTCTCACAGGGTTCGTACAGCTTTCCGATATCGTCATTTCCTATTGTTGGTCTATGATACATCGATTCCGTACGACTCGAGCCTCCACGAGTCTTCTGGTCGCTCACTTATCGTTTCTGGATGTCTCTTCAATCAAGCATCTGATTGCGTGCAGAGGGCGCACGGAGGTTTCCTCTGCGTGACCACGCATCAGGTCACGTTTCGAGCCTCATGGACTCAGTCAGCCACATGCAGCGCCCAATGGGACTCTCTGACGTGCTCCATTTGTTTATCGTAGGTGATCTGGAGAAAGCGATGGGTATCAATCCGGACAAGATGATGGATCGTGAGAAGGCATTCATTCCTGAGCTCCAGGTCCAGTTCATCGAAGGCGTCGTGCGACCGGTTTTCGTCCTGCTCGCCGAACTTTTCCCCGGGTCCGAAGGTACTCAGCAGAGCCTACAGGCTGTCACGGATATTCTTCTGTTCTGGCAGAAATTCCGGGAGATTTACCTCACAAAGTACGGAACGCATCACGGATGCTCGTTGAGTATCTTCCAAGATCAGCAGCTCGAGAAGGAAGTTGTGACCAGTTTGCAGCTTCAAAACACCAGGTTAGTTGGAGAACCTGATGTCCGAGGGAGGAACGCTCTCTTCCGAAATCGAATCGATTCCGCATTGAACCCCTGACCGCACGAGGATCCGCTTAGACAAGAACTTTACCCGGACGTCGCTCTGAGACTTTCTCTTCGATTCGCAGGAAACGCAACTTTCACGAGGAATCGGTTTCACCAGACTCTGCTTCGTGACATGATCGAGCTCGCAGCGCAATAGCCCGTAGCATCCAATCCATAATATGCAACTTGAATATATGACGTTTAGTAACGAATAATTATGATCGTAATCACGAGAGCTCCGATCTCGCCGGCCTGGGCGACGAGGAGAACAACATAGAAGACAACGAGCACTAGAAGCACAGAAATCGATGAGGCTCCACTATCTCTCTGATTGGAATTGCCCTCAACCCTGTCGCTGTTGCCGTCGCTGATCGTAGTATTTGATTCCGTATCCGACCAAAAGTTGTGTTAACTTCCCAACTGAATCTCTCGTCCGTTCTGACATCACGAGGTGAGAGCGAAGAAGCGAGTCGCATTCGTTCGACTTACGAAAGCCGTCAACCCCGAGACCGGTGCGTAACACCGTTGTTGTACCCTAAATTTGTGAAATCAGGAGACACTTCGTCGGTCTTCGGTCGCTCCTCATAACTCATGAGCGATTTAATAGACGAAAACCTGAGTATGTTTGTGGATGAGGACGAAGGAAGACAGCCCGGAACCGGGAACGATCCTACCGTGAAGAGGAAAACCGCAGAGTTGCGCACCGGACAGTAATGATGACGTCGCCTTCGAGGAAACTGGATAGAGCTTTTTGTGAGCAGCAGGTCTCCGGAGCACCTTCAAATCACTGCGTGGGGTGCGAAAGCTCACGCTCCCAGGATATGACGTGCTCTTGTGTGAGGAAATTCCGCTGAGGCGAACTTCCAACCTCATGTTGAACTTTCTACCCGAAACGGAATGAACGTGCCATTTTAGCCATGCTTATTGGACGGCAGACGTTTTGGACGATTTCTGGCTAGTCTGTACAAAGCTTATCAAGCTATTATTACATAGCTCCATTAGAGAAAGAGTCCTGGCACTCGGATCTCTGTCTGAACGTAGAACTATGTGCACGAGAGAGAGATGGATGTGAGTTTGTATGTAAGCCAGCAAGCGATGTGAAGAGGAGATACTATGTTTTGTATATAGCGAAACTGTTATCAATCGCCCGAATCTTGTCCATTACCGAGTGGGAGTTTAAAACGAAATTCTTAGAGAACCGAATGGGAACTGTGGCGTAGAGACACGAATCTTAGAACAACTGATGATGACGATGATGGGCTGATATAATGTATTTGTCGTGGGAGGTCATAGGAGAAACTGATCCTCGAACAAGCCGAGGCCTAATGCAATTTAGCAGGATGGAGTTCCTTTGTGGAAGGGGGGAACTCGCGAATTTTCGAAAATCCAAGACTGTTCACTTTGTTCTCGCTTGGGATTCCCGTAGAAATTGTGACTTCCAGTCTCCTTTCTGGATACCTTGCCCAATTTAGACAATATCATTGTCATGCTCCATCGAACGAATCATGATTCCTAATTGTTATCATCCTCATGATATACACTAAAATTGAAAGTATAATCGATGCGTTGCATCGTGAATAGTCGAATAATCATGGGAAATATAAAAGAACGTTCAACGTCGTTTGACCCATCCGTTTTTCATCTGTCCTCCTTATCCTAGCCGAGTACATAAACTAGACGGACCGAATTGAGGCATTGCTCCAAAGCTTGAACTTCGAGATCGGATTCACCAGGGGGAAGGGCTGCCCTCCCTCCGTCTGCTCCTCCTCCCTGTCCTCAGAAATGGATACATCCAGTATCGAACTCTCGAGTCCGAATCCCTTCACAGATCTTTTCACTCGCGCGGGGGAAAGCCCGATCCGGAGGGCTCACCATTAAATAAGCATTGATCGCCCGAGGTAGTTGAGGGCGGAGAGCCTGACGGATAATGGGCAGAAATCAGATTCGTCGGGGAATTTCTTGTCAAGACGACACAATATCTAAATGCAATCGATGGCTCGCAGCTCACAAAGTCATGAATCATGAATATCAGAACATACGCGCTCGTCGCTTCGGAGCTCGTGAGCCGGCGTCTGAACACATCGCGCGCTCTGCGAAGGCTCGACATAATCCAGGAAGAAGGAGTTTCTAATAAGTTTCGTGAAGTTGACGAGCGATCATCCCGCATAAAGACGCCAAGGCCGGCAGCATCACCTTCCGGTGACCCACACAGTCAATGAATCGACCCTCATTCACCGCTTTGAAGGAAATTTTGGATTCATCGTCTTCGGGACTTCCTGACGATATCCTTGCTCAGTATAAGGAGCCGGCGCCAGAACTTTCCGCGTTTTCTCGGAGTCTCCGGGAAGCGCCAAGCAAATCCTCGTCTGGAGAAGCCTCGGGCTGAAATCCATTGAAAACAGCATGAGTCATTTGTTGGAATCGCCAAGCCAGGTTGTCACGCAGTGGACTGTGAGCCATCGTGTTTTCAATACAAGTACCTTGTTCGAGTTTAAAGTAAGCCAGACAATCTGCAAGGGAAGCGCAAGCACAGACAGCTCTACTTTAAACATTTTTAGATTTCCTTGTCAAAACAATAAGTCCTGACTCCATCATTATTTTCAACTCAAAAACGTGAATAAGACCCCGGCCACCTGAATCGATCGGAATCTCAGATACCCCGACCGGAACATTCAAGCTTCTGGAAACTTTATCTCCGAAGAAACACTACCACGGAGAACCATATGATACACCGAGCGTGGAGTCCGGGCAGTTTCGCCTCCCTCCATCCCACTTAGCGGGGTAAACAGAATCTTTCGACTGCGGTCACTCCGCTTATTCTCCTTTGGCGTCACGTACAACTAATCTGTATCAATTAATATTTACATGAGCGGGAAATTTTCTACAGTCCTCAACCCGACGCCGCTCACTCACGTCCAGGCGGAAAAACAGAATCGAGCTTAACAATGTGCCCTTCGTGTGCCGCGCTCCTCCTCCCATTGCTCATTTCATCGATCCAAGCTCGGGACATCAACATTTGTGGTAAACTCCGAGACTTGACGACCGGATTCATGAAATGCCTTCCGCACTCGTTTTCCTTACCCGATCCATTCGAATGCTCTTTCGATCGTTCGGAACTTGAGGACCTGCCCGATGACTCCATACAGTTCTAGCCGAGTATGCGGGAGAAACTCCATAGAGCTTGGTCGAATCATTGAGTTTTCCCCCTCTGGTACGATGATCATTGTTGGGAACATCTTCGGGGAAACTCCCAGCTCCGAGCCGTGTGATGTCCCCATGCGGCAGATGGCGAACTCGCGCCCTGGAGCTCATCATACTTGGGATTTTTCGATACATCCGAAAAGCATCGAAAAGAGTCAGGTATCAAGGCGTAAAATGGGCACCGCCAACAATACGATCCCGATGTTGGTCTTGCAGCCCTCGATGACGTCCCGCTAGACTATGCCATAGTCTGCTTGCGACGGGATCTCGACCCCGAGGTAAGTGCATCCGTGTGATCCAAAGATCGCTAGTTTCCTCCTCACATGGTATCGACGATTTGACGTCTCTTTAAGAGCCAACGGAGATGGCAATCGATTCCTTTGGACTTACTCTTCACAGCTAACCACCGACTGGGCAACCCGACTGAGCGCTTTCGGTCAATTGACAGAAGCGGAAGTTATTCGAATGATCTGTAAGGAGAACGTCGATATGGGTACCACTATTGTAAGCAGCCGAGTGTGAGAAAATTTACTGTCATAACAAACCCTTCTAACACAACGATGATGGTATAAACTTTCAAAATACGCACTGACGGACGACCAGTGGGATGCCTCCTCGTAAAGTCGATAGAAACGTACTCCTCCCTGCCATGACAATGTAATCGGCGCTTTTCAGTGGGCAGGGACCCTTGAGGACTACTTTGGTAGCGGAGAAAAGCTCAAGTCGGAGCTGGCCATCGTACAGGCTTGCATGGAAGAAGCCGTGAACAAGTTCGAGGGTAATAACGAGTGATCCTCGCTAGGAATGATCCCTCCCGAAATCACCGTGGAGGAACTCGACGGTAAAAAGCATTTTTCACCCCAAATCCGGAATCGAGAATAAATCGCTCCCGATTGGTTGTGCGGTGTTCACGGTTGAAGAATCGAGCTCGGAATGTATTTCTCTCATGCTCGCTGGAAGTTCATGGCGGGAAAACACGACCTTTTTCGGCTCCTGGAAAGCCAATCCAGGAATCGCTGAGGAGTGATTTCGATTGCGGCGATGCATCATTCGACTCCATCGACTCAGCTGCACCAAATGCTCACAAGACTGGGGAACAATGAGTCCGCTTCTCATTTCCCCCTCCCGGATATTATCGGATATCAGCTGGCAGGGAAGCGATATAAATCCGTAATTGCAGGGGCGATGGACTGGAAGACCTCAGAAAAATCCTAGATCTTCCCGAGGCGCGAGCGACCGTGGTCTGCTTCTTCGTCCGGAGTTCGACGCAATATCTGTGTAGCAGAAAGAACGCAGGATGTCGACCCGACTGATATTTCTTCACAAGACTCGAAGTAGTTTCTGTGAAAATCACAATGAGGCACTCATCTATCTACAGATTGACTTTGTTTGTTCACGGCTCCGTGAGTGTGTCTGCGGCCGCGTCCAAGTCTGAGTGCGGTCTTGGATTGGACGGATGCCGAATCGCCCACAAACGCAACGTCCGAATCAACATCAGCATGCGAAAGGGAACCACGCCACCGTCGAACAGAATCAGAAAACAATTTTCTTATGGACCCTTTTGTGATAATCATTTCGGACGACGAAATTAGAAAATATGCTTCCCAACTCGAGGAGTCAGTTCTTCCCCGCGAGCCCCGAGAAGAATATAGAGCACAGCTGATTCTCTTTTCTCCAAGGGGAGCATTGCTCCAAACTGATCTTATTCCAGAGACCGACCGAAAGTTCGCCTATTCCAGAAGATCGATTTGAATTACCTACGAATCAGCCCACCGAGACTAATGTTAAAAGCGCGACCGATGGCGGCGATTATGGGCTTTAGGCGACTTCCACCTCCTTTCGACGCGTCGGCCACGACATATTATTGCTCCAAGCATGCCTCAAACGCGCCTACTCAAGAAGATCCCTCCCTCCTACATAAACGGTCGATTCGACCGGACACCTTTCTTACGATTAGATTCCCGTACTACTTC